CGACTACACTACAACTAGGATGATGGTTTTGAATCAACACTGATCTTGTTGCTCCTCTGCTTAAGAATTTCCAGTGCCCTCACATTGCTCAAGATCATAATTCTTTGGTCAGGCATTATTTGACTCCTGAGCAAGATAGAGCAAGCCTATCTTGCTCTCCCTGTGGTACAGAACTGTCTTTCTCTGTCCTACAAAAGCATCATTCTCCTTCCCTGCTGGACATCTTCACTCATGCCTTTCCTTCTGCTCAAAATGATCTTTCTTTCCCTGCTCCCTTTACCTGGTTACTGAATATCCTTTCTTCCAAGATACTGCAGTTTATTAGACACACCATTTACTAACAATTTTCTAGGGAGAAATACTTTCATACACTATACATATGGCAATTGAAAATCCATAATAATTTTTTGAACATTTAACTTGAAAATATGTGATTCTTAGAATTAAATAAGTATAATCAGAAAGAGTGAGAAGTTACTTCCGTGTACGTGGTTTTATAGCTTSCTATTTTACCTGGTTTTCCCTCTTATTGTAACAATGTGTTAGTCAACTTTTTGTGTCTATGACCAAAGTACTCAGCAAGAACAACTTAGAGGAGGAAACGTTTATTGTGGYTCACCAYCYCAGAGGTTTAGTCCATGGTTAGCTGAYTCCCTTGCTCTGGGCCAAGGTCAGGCAGACGGTCATGATGGAAGGGCAAGGCACAGGAGCATAGCTCACATCATGGTGGCTGAGAAGTAGAAAGAGAAAGCAGGCAAGGGGCTACAGAAAAGATAAACCACCTCTCCAGAACCTGCCCCAAGTGATTCACCTCCTCTAGCCATGTCCCATGACTTAGTCAGCTTTATGTTGCTGTGACCAATATACCTGACCATAACAAAATAGAGATTTATTTTAGTTCATGGCTTCAGAGGTTCATTCCATGTTCAGCTGAGGCAGAATTTCATGGCAGAAGAGTGTGGTGCAGGAAAGCAGCTCAGAACATCAAATCCATAAGCAGAGAGAAAGCTCTGCTCACCAGGAACAAAATATAAATCCCAAAGACACCCTCACTCCCATGGTCTACCACCTCCAACCACACCCTGCCTACCACCCAGTTACAACTCTCATCATTTCACCTTCAAACATTCCCATGGTAACACAGGTTTTGGTAGACATCTCATCCAAACCATAACAAACACACAACTCACAAATATTTGTCTCACCTATTAGAAAGCGAGCTTCAGTAAGTGGCATTTACCAATAAATCTCTAGTTCATAGTGCAGTACCTAGCACAAAGTTGGTGCTCAATATTTATGTATTAAATGAGTGAACAAAATGAAGCAACATATTTAATTCAGAATTGYTCAATTTCTCTTTATATAATGTTCAAACCAGGCTTTTATGTACTTGTATGGGTTTTCTATTGCTGCTGTAACAAATCAGTCCATATGCAGTSGTTCAAAATAAGACAAATTTATCCTCTCACAGTTCTAGGGATCAGAGATCTCAGCTCAGTTTCAATGGAATAAAGTCAGGGTGTCATCAGAGCAGATTATTTCTTGAGGGTCCAGGGGAGACTCATCTCTTTGCTTTTGTCAGTTTCCAATGGCTATTCTTGGCTTGTTATCTTACATCTTCAGTGAGTATCACTCCAGTCTCTGCTTCTGTATCACACCACCTTCTCCTCTGATTCCTCTTGCCTCCCTCTTATATGAACTCTTGTGAATGTATGGGGCCCATATGCACAACCCATGACCATATTCCACACCTCAAAAACTTTATTTTAATCACACTGAAAAACTCTTTGGTCTATGTAAAGAAATATCCAAAGGACACAGGGATTAGAATATGGACATGTTGGAAGCCATTATTCAGCACACCATCCACTCCTGTGTTGAAAATTATAAAAGTGTTAGAGCCAAGTTGGAAAATAAAGCATGGACCAAAAGATGTCACATGAGAGTCAAGAAATATATGGTTTAGACCTAGTGTGATTACTTCCTAGCAGTGAAATGCTGAGTAAATCCCTTCATCTCTTCAGGCCTCCTCTGCAAAATGCCAGGGCTCAAGCCTATGATTTCCTGCATTCTATGATGATGGGTTCCCAGCAGTTATATGCTTGAGTATGCTTTTACGCTGTCCTCACTCCTAACTTCACATGGCGATGTGGCTTCAGATATTCAAAGCATCCCAGGAAAAGACTCCATTCTTCCACTATGAAGGATAAAGAGCTTTTTGTTGCTAACAAGATTTTTCTCCAGTCCCCATTACATTCTAACGTCAATTTCAGGAAGAAGTATTACAGAAAAACAGACTGTTTGCAACATAACAAACCCTGAATGCTTCTGCCTTTATGTTTTTCTCAAATACAAACATAGAGTAGCCTTGATACAAAAACAAACAAACAAATCTAAAACTGGAACAGCCAATCTAAGTACAGTATAACTGCTTATTTAAAACCCACTCCTTAAAAACAAAAGGGGAAAGTGAAGTAACTAAAATTATTGTCCATGCATCTKACTCAAAGCATTACATTCTAGATACCTAAGCCATATGCAAGACTAAACAAAAAAGAGTCACAGACACTACTAAATTGCACACTCATTTAGATGAACAGTTCCAGAAAGGATCTAAATAGAGGATTTATGTCATAATGTTTCTCTCAGCCTACCTTAGTGCCAAGCTAATTGGCCAGCGAGTTTGAAATGAATTGAATCAACTTCCTGTAATATTCTTCACAAAGTGTGAATACTTCATGTGATTTCTGGAAGATCAAGTATATATGTTCTGGGATGGGGCTAGAAGCACTGAAAGAATGAAGTAGTATGTGAGGGAGTTAGGGAACATTGGTGAAATCCCACAGATAAATGGCTGTCTGTGTGAGCCCTAAGCTTCCTTGATTTTCAATAGCTCATTGAAATAAAAAAATAGAGACTTTTTTTATGGTCACAATACCTTTATTTATTTATTTTTATGCAGCGCTGAGGATAAAACCCAGTGCCTCCTGTGCTAGGCTAGTGCTCCACCACTGAGTCAAAACTCACTGAGCCAAAGAGATAAATTTTGATGGAGAAATAATTAATCTTAAAAAAAGTGAAAGTGAAGGTGAGGCTTTTAGCACAGGGATGAGAGGTGTGAGCAGAAGCAACTCTTGGATTGGGAGGACTAATCAGGGCAGGGCTCATCTTCAGATACAAGCTGATCAAAAGGAGGCTCTTTGGTTTGGTTTTTACTGGAGCCCTAGCGCCCTCTGGAGGAAAGACCAGAGCAGTCAGCATTTAGAGTGAAGTGCGTTCTCTTGGAGAGAACTTCATTCAGGCTTTGGATTCAAGATTGTTTCCTTTCCTGTTTTGCGTATTGCGTTTCTGTTTCACTAAGCATTCTTTTAAAACTCCTCTGCTTTAAGATTATTTAATCTTGTAAATAAAGTCTGGAGTTCTGCATYACTTTAGGAATGAAGTCAATTGCTGCATGCTTAAGATACTTTGATTTCAGTTTATTTCCTGAAGGTGAAGAAAGCATTCCAAATTCTTTGAGTCTTTTCTTAAAAAGTATAATTCACATCAGAGCAGTTGACCTGATATTTCAATAAATCACCACTTGAGAAGAAACTCCAAGGCTTTCCACGCGTTTCCTTAGACAAGTCCTTAGAATTTACTGCCATTGGTCTGAAAAACATCTGATAAAGAGTTGTGATTTTAACAGTAGTGGAAATAGGGAAGTGAGTGGCCCACAATCAACTCGAGATTATCCCCTAYCTCATCTGCATCTAGATAAAAGGAGTTGGAGGCATGTGTGACCGATTAGTGGAGGAGTTTCTGACTCAGGGCTAGACAGGTGGTATTTTAAAATACACGRAGTCGGCAACCAATTATATGCTCAGTTTAGTTTCATTTCTCAGAATACACCAAAGTACGGGCAACACTTGTGCCTGATTTCCTCTTGATGAAGACCTTTTGAAAATCCTGTCACAGTTAAGTGGTCAGCTAATTAAAGAAGGGCGGAGCTTGTTCTGTGCATTCAGTAAGTATCTACCTTCTGATTTAGGCATGAAAAGAGATCACTATCCTTACTTTTAAAAAGGAAGAAGGCAATTCTTAGAATTTTTAGAAGACGGCACATTTTTAGAACCAGCCTTTATCAAATGGCATAATTTCAGTGAAAAAGCAGAGTGATCAAGAAGGAAGAAAAAAACCTTCTGATCATAGTTGATTAGGAGGAAGAAACAAATTAAAATGGGSGTTCTCGCAACGCAGCGAAATAAAGGGTTAGGACCATTTCCTTCTGAAACTTTAAGAGGAAAAGGGAAGTTGCCAGTGGCCTCCGCCTTTGGACGGTCCCTCCTCCTCCCCGGCCGCACGCGCGGCGGGGTTCAGCACCTCGGAAAGCGCCCCCTCTCTTGGTGTAGGGGGTTACGCATGCTCCTTGGGGCCGGCTGCCGCGGCTTTGTGGGTGCRAATATAACTCGGGTAAGCAACTCTGGTAACTCACTGGGAATTACCGATAGCGGATACAACACCTACGGACCTCCAAGCAGTACGAGGGAGGTAGACGTGACTTCACGTTCTCYACTTTTCCTTAAAAGGACGGAAACCTCGTCCGAGCAGCAGAGAAAACCAATAAAGGTACTAGAAAGAAAAGGAACCGGCCCGGAATCGCGCTCCTGAGCAGCCAGAAGGGTTTTGCGCCAGTGTCCAAGTGACAGTGGCAAAGGAGAAGGAAAGTCTCAGGTGCGTACATACTAGGGACTCGGGAAACTCCAACCTTAGACCGAGAAACCTTGGACGCAGGTCGCTTTCCTGGAGAGCTGTGTTCCTCTTTGGAGCATCTAAAGCAGACGCTGAGCTCAACTCCTGTGCCCAGAGCTGCGGGTCGCGCGCACCGGACGCCATCCGCAACCAGTTCGCAGGCTCTATCTTCAGCGGCTATTTTGAAAGCTCCCGCGCACACCTCGCCTGTTCGCCTGGGGATCACACCGCGGGCGAACCGTGCTTCCTTAGTTCTTACGCACCGGAATATGAACTAGGGGTATCTGCTCATACAGGTGGTTGAAACAACCACGAAAGCCACCATGAATAAGGCGGCTGGAGGTGACGAGCTCGCAGAACTCTTCAGTCTGATCCCAGGCCTCCTGGAGGCGGCCAACACGAGTGGCAACGCCTCGCTGCAGCTTCAGGATTTGTGGGAGCTGGGGCTGGAGTTGCCGGACGGAGCGGCGCCAGGGTATCCACCCAGCAGCAGTGGGGCAGAGAGCTCGGATGCAGAGGCCCGGGTGCGGATCCTCATCAGTGCGGTGTATTGGGTGGTTTGCGCACTGGGGCTGGCAGGCAACCTCCTTGTGCTCTACCTGATGAAGAGCAAACAGGGCTGGCGCAAATCCTCCATCAACCTCTTCGTTACCAACCTGGCGCTGACGGACTTTCAATTCGTGCTCACTCTGCCTTTCTGGGCGGTGGAGAACGCCCTGGACTTCAAGTGGCCCTTCGGTAAGGCCATGTGTAAGATCGTGTCAATTGTCACCTCTATGAACATGTATGCCAGCGTCTTCTTCCTCACTGCCATGAGTGTGGCGCGCTACCATTCTGTGGCATCATCCCTTAAGAGCCACCGGACCCGAGGGCACGGCCATGGCAACTGTTGTGGCCAGAGCCTGGGGGACAGCTGCTGCTTCTCAGCCAAAGCTCTGTGTGTGTTGATCTGGGCTTCGGCTGCTCTGGCCTCGCTGCCCAATGCCATTTTCTCCACCACCATCAAGGTGATGGGTGAGGAGCTGTGCCTGGTGCGCTTCCCTGACAAGTTGCTGGGTGGCGACAGGCAGTTCTGGCTTGGCCTGTACCATTTGCAGAAAGTGCTGCTAGGCTTTGTGCTGCCCCTAGGCATCATCAGCCTGTGCTACCTGCTGCTGGTGCGCTTCATCTCAGACCGCTGCGTAGTGGGGACCGAAGTAGGGACAGCAGCTGCTGGGGGAAGCCTGTCTGGAGCTRGCGCTAGGAGACGGTCCAAGGTCACCAAATCAGTGACCATCGTGGTCTTATCTTTCTTTCTGTGTTGGCTGCCTAACCAGGCKCTCACCACATGGAGTATCCTCATCAAGTTCAACGCGGTACCCTTCAGCCAGGAGTATTTCTTGTGCCAGGTGTACGCGTTCCCGGTGAGCGTGTGTCTGGCGCATTCCAACAGCTGCCTCAACCCAATACTCTACTGCCTAGTGCGCCGCGAGTTCCGCAAGGCGCTCAAGAACCTGCTGTGGCGTATCACGTCGCCTTCGCTCACCAGCATGCGCCCTTTCACAGCTACCACTAAGCCAGAGCCAGAGGATCACCGGCTGCAGGCCCTGGCGCCACTCCACGCAGCTGCTGAACCTGACGTGCTCTATTATCCGCCTGGTGTAGTGGTCTACAGTGGGGGACGCTATGACCTGCTGCCCAGCAGCTCAGCCTACTGATGTGGACTAAGACACGTGGAACAGCAAGGTTGCCTTCGGGGCAGGGAAGCAAGGGAATCGCTTACTGGAGGAAAAGCGGAGGGACTCTGAATCAAGAATTAGGTGGGAAAGGGATGTGGAGACCCATGGAGCAGCGGCCAGTGGAAAAGCTGGAGGCACTTCTGTGGAGAAATGTGAAATCAGGTGAAGAAAGGAAGCAGGCAAAGGAGTGAAGATCAGCCCTCTGGACCGGAGCTCGAGGCTTGGCTCCCCTCCTACCCCAACGCAGAGTCCTCTCCTAATGCTGCTCACGTTGTACAGGGTGTGGGTGCCCAGAAGTAGAGAGGCAGCAAGGAAGTAGAGAAATTGGGGCAATAGGGAGTGAGGCTCAGCCAAATCATGTGCGAACAACTGGGCACTTATTTCAGCTATTTTATGACATTCTTGATGGGGCCCTTAAGGTGCATGTAGCCAGGAGAGCCACCCAGGAAACTTTTGYTTTGAGCTTTGACTCTTAAGACTGCAAAGGCTTACTTGCTGTGTGGCTGCCCTGGGAGCCTTAAGTTTGGGGAAATCGAGTGACCCTGTTGACCCTTCCCAGGAGAAATGACGAGGGAAAGGCACTCCAGGGCAGCCAGACAGAGCAAGCAGGCTCAAGCTGAGCCTTGCTGGAAGGGCCTGACATCTGTGATCAGCTGTCACCAGGGGCAAAACACTTGTCCTCAGTTTAGATGAAAGATCCACTAGAGAGTGGATCTTTGCTCTGTGGGAAACAGAAGTGCAACTGGAAGAGCTGAAAGGGGAAATTTATTTAGTCTACAGACCGTGAAGGAAAAAGGGAACTCAAATTCAGCATTCCCTGGAAAGCCTAATTCCCTGGGTGCTCTAGTTTCTCTGGAGAACATTCTGCSTTCCTGGAGACACCATTCTCTCTAGTCAGTCACTGCAGGTGAGCTGTTCTCAGGAGCATCTTGAAAAGCCCTCCTGGTATCTAGGGTTGAAGGGAGGGTTCTACAGCCCTTCCTTCCTCACTCTGGGAATTGGAATGCCACGTTGATGGAGACTCTGGATCAGGAAGTAGAGGGATGATTCGGATTTCATGTTGGATTAAAAGAGCAAGAAATGCTGTAGAAATGTGCAGGGCTTACTGCAGACCAGATGCTAGATTCCTAGAAGCTGGTGTTGGATCATTCAAGAGAATGTGTGGGATGGGAACGAGAATGGAAGACCAAAGTAAAATCTTTATCCTAAAGGAACAAGTGGATTGGAGAGGCTGCTCTGAGGGGCTTATCATAACTTCAGGTGTGAGATTATTTATTGCTCATAGCATTCACATGAGAAGGTAAGATGTAGGAGATTACCTTAACAATGTGTATTGATTTTAAAGAGTGTATTGCTCATTGAGCATGCATGATAAATTCTTTCTCAACTTCCAGACAGTCAGTGGGGTTGTCTCTGAGGAGCAACGTTTGTTGCTCATGGCAACTCTGTTATTGTAGCAGTTTAAGATGCTAAAATCCTCACAGTGTCCTTTCTTGAGGCTATTCTGAGAACTGAAATCAAGCATCAGTCTACCTGCCCATCTGCTGGGACTGATAGAGGTGCTACTGTTCTCCTTGGCAAGTTGTTTTGGGATCAAGAAGCTGTTAATGCAAGCACCTCCTGGGATGGTCATTCTAATACAATAAATAATCATTAGAAAAACATGTCTGTTTAAATAGCCTCTTCAATTATAATTTTGTTGAAAAATTCCTATAGTGTCTGGAATTTAAGGCTTAAAATATGAGATCATCCCTTTTCCCACTTTCTGTAACACAACACAGTGGAATTGCTAAACATTCATACTCTTTGCCACAAAAACCAAAACTGCCCATCTCAATTCTGAGAAGTATTACGAAGTTAACTCTTTTTGAATACCGAATGGTTTTTCTGTTTCAAAGCAATTAAATAAAACTTTGTTCTTTAGAAAAGGATCTATCAATAATAGTGTGGGATAGTAATCAGGCTAAAAAGGTTGAAACTGAAGCTCCCTTCATCTCTAAAATACAAATATAGGGAAAAATCAATGTAGGAAATGACATATAGTAGCATAGACATGCACAACACTGATTTTAGACTCTCACTGAAAGATTCTTATTATAGTAACTTAATATTATTGTTTTGACAATAAAATTATGTGTGGGTAGCTTATAATTCTCAGGAAAGTACATTAAAGAGTGTGCTTCTACTGCTGTGGAGAATAGAAAAAGAGAAGAAAAGGAATGAGAGGGCAAGGTCTTCATGAAAAATTCTGTAACCACTGTCACCTGTCCAAACCCAAAGCTGAAGGCTTCTAAGAAAATGGCAGAAGGAACCAAAGACCATGACTTCTTTCCCCACAAGGTCACAAGAGTAGACAAGGAAGTGGTCAAATCCATTGAAACCTACAATGACCCTTTGTATGCCTATTTTGTAGAAGACTCTGTGTTGGGGGCTGAGCTCATGCACATGAACAGACACATTTCTGACTTCCACATTCAGAAGGACAGACAGCCAGTGAGATGATATAAGACAGGGCACAATTAATTGGAGGTCATTGTAAGGCTAAAACAAGTGCAGTGGGAAAAGGAGGGGAGGGTCAGAGACTTCTTGGTCAAAATAGTATTTGAGTTGGGCCTGGAAATATGGGTATAATTTAGGCAGAATGAGGGGGAGGTTGAGGAAGAGTGGTGACCAAAGACTTCAAGGTCAAAATGTCAGATGATGGATTAGGGAAGCAGGTAGCAAAGCAGTGTAGCTTCCCTTTCTCCTATGAGACTTCCTGAGATCTCTATTTAAAATATATGTCTCTGGGCATGTATTTGCTTGGGAAGAGAATTATTTTTTGGCTAGATCATGTCATCAGTGTATTGAGAATAATTACTTGGGTTCCCAAGGATTAAAGACTTTTTAAAATTGGCTTCTATCCACTCATTCAAACCTTGATGGATTTGAGTTCAATGAATAAAATTTCAAAATTGTGTGTGTGTGTGTGCAAGACAGAGAAAGAGAGAAGGAGACAGGGAGAATACTAGCATTTGCTATGGTTCCATTCCTCAGCCTAATAGCCTATCTAATGTTCCAAACATTGAGGTTTGATCTAGTAACTTCACTTGTAATCAAAACCCTGCCCTATGGTTGGGTAGTGATGGCTACATTTCATTTCTTTAAGGGTCCAGGTAAAATGACTCTTGGCTACAGGCCATCTTCCCAGCTTGCCCATCCATTTGTCTCCAAATCTTTAAAATGCCAGAAAAGTCCTTGAAGAAATAGTCAAGGAATACAGGGTACCCTGAAGATTTTTCAACTTAAACTTTCCAGAGGCCGGTAAAATGTAAGGAAGGCAGGAGAGGCGTCTTGATACTGTTTGTAATGCTGACATGTTTGACATGTGTCCTCTGAGCACTTGCCTATAATTGTTCCATGCTATGGGATAGGGAGCATGTGCTTTCTCTGATCACGTTTCTAAGTCAGTAATGACCTCCTTTCTCCAGGATGGATGATTGTATGTGGGGAGGAAGATTGGAATAGTCGAGGGTGGTTTTATATGTGCCCCCTAAAAAGAATAAGGTGACTTCAGTTGAGAGTGACTGTGTTCATTGAATTTGGGAGCGGGGTGCCTGATGAAGGGGTAGAAAATGAGCAGCACACATGTGGAGAAAATTGAGCAAGGCATGGAGGCTGATAAGTGAGGTGTGGTAATACAGCCCACCTAGTGTGGAAAGCACCAAGGATCTGGAGAGAATGGGATGAGTGCAGAACCTGGAGCACCTAACTTCAGATAAGGAAGCTGCAAGTCCTACAGGTGAGGGGGCTGAGCTGTAGGCAGGAAAGAGCAGTTGCTTCACTGCAAGCCCCCTGCCCTCCACTTCTTGTCAACTGCACGAGCGTGCACACAGACAGACACACATCTAAAGTGGCCAGAGTCATATGGAGCAGGGGGTGCTCCAGACATTCTGCTCCAACAACAAGTATGATAACTGAGAAACAGCAGAGAGCAGGCTCTTTAAACAAAAAGGAGGCAATCAGGAGAACTGCAGCAGCAGGTGGAAGTCCTAGCAGCAGCAGGAAGAAGAGAGTAAGTTTGTCTTATCAGGGATTCATGTGTATTTTGAGATCATTGGAAAAATTGGGAAGGGGCAGGGCACTGCCACACAGAATGACGAAGGGCTCACTCTTAGGCTGGTCGTCTCTGGTACTGAACTTCAATCTAAGCAACTAGGGTCTGTGTTTCATCATTAGAGAACCCTATTCTGCCCCTATTCCTCCAGCCATGCCCCTCTGAAGGGCAAGGAGTGCCCCTACTTCTAGGTTATTTTCCAGCACCTAAGACCCCATGACTCCCCATCCAGATGTCTCTTAGTCTATTTACAAGATGTTGGTGGACCTTTGCTGAGTTCATCCTCCAGAGACAGAGCACACTGCTGAGTTTATGCACCCTTAGGAGGGAGGGGAGGCTGAGGGGTGGCTGTTTGTATGAGTGATGGAGGGTGGGGGAGTGAGGATGGCTAGGGATGTGCTAACGCCAGGTGCACTCAAGAACTCTTACATGCTGTGCAGAGAGAGAGAGTGGGAGGAGGAGGGGGCAAGGAGGGAGAAGAGGAGGGAGAACTAATGGGCTGAGGACCTTGGCTTCTATTTATCTTTTTGTTCTGGCTCCTGCCAACGTTAGGAGTAGATCTATACCGCTCACACCCCCTACGATTGTGTGAAAGAGGAACCACTGCCTACCACAACCAACCAGAGCATGCTCTCTCTCTCCAGACTGCTGCCTCAAATGAGTCGACAGTCCACAGTCTTGGACATGCTTTTGAAGCCATCCATTTTACTATGCATGAGACAGGCAAAAGCAGCACCCAAATCCCAATGTCCCAGTTCTTAAAGACTCATTTCCTTTCTATACAATTTCCTTTCAGCCCAAAAGGATTACAATTGAAATTCACCTGGAGCAATGACTGCTTCAGGGAGAAGTGGGATAGGAACCATGTAATCTTTGTAACTTC